GAGCTTTGACTTAACATCTATTAACTTAAATTGCTTATTCCTCTCCATCCTATAGATCTCACTTAGTTTCTGAATATAAGCCTGTTGGATATATTTATTAGCCTTATCTGAATGCTCTCTTAAGGTCACAGACCTTCAGTACTCCCGTAAGCTTTCTCTGATAATTTTACGGGTTATTACTCCCACATTTGCCAACATTCATCTGATATTCAGGCAATCATTTGTCTATAGCATAGCTGAAAAGTCATATTGACACAATCTCTAGCCATCATAGGAAGCTCATTTGAGTTTAGTCAAAATAATCTTCATCGACAAGTTTTCATTTCAATAACTAAGGCTTGTCAATATAGGCTCATTTTATAACATTTCAAATTTTTTTCTAATCAATCCCTGTGAGCGCACTATGTGATCATGCTTTGGAAAAGATCTAATCTCTCAAGTAGCAACCTTTTATTTTAATAGTCTCAGGTTTTCTTGAAAAAAGAGTCATTTTTAAGCACATATCTAAAGACCATGATGCTGGGGCCTTTATTTCGGTCGCAGTCTCCACTTCTATACAAAAAAATCTTATGTTTACATGTGGATCGACATTTACAACTTCGACATCTTATCTCACTCTCCAATTCATTAGGAAATCATGATCGATCATCCTTTGCGCACCATTTCTTACATCGCTGACATCGGTGACATTTTTGTGTTAATGGCACGCCGACGCATATCTTCTCAATCCATGGACCCCGCAGCCTCTAGCGTCGATCCCGATGCTGGTTGCTGTAACTGCAGCCACATTAACGGCATCTCCTCGTCAGGAATCGACAACGGTTCCTTATTTTCAAACGACTGCCGTTCCTCCATGTCTAAAGCAGTACCAGATATCGAAATGAGCTCGAATCCTGTCGACACCAATTATCTTCATAAAAACCAACAGCACAGTCAACGCCACCACCAGCATAATCAGTTTCGGCACCACATGTCTGGAGTTGATATTGCTAAACCTGACACGATGGCCACAAATGGTGGGACTAGGTCTACGAATAATGGTGGTTGTTGCCACTCTACCTCTTCTTCTTCATGTCTTTTATCTCACACCACAACTGCATCTTCCGCCGCCGCAGCCATTGCAACCTCTGCTCATCATCTACGTTTACCAACACTTACAAGTGTTAAGTCCGATGCAGGTATTCGGTGCTCAGCTGGCTCTGTAGGCCCAGCAGAAGGACTGAGTCATTTTCCTACCATAGAAGCGTATTACAAATCCCAATATGCAGAGAGGCAAACGCTGAAGGTCATATGCCACGTCTTCGAGAGTGATGAGGTAAGGTGCTGAAAACATTTTCTGTTTAATTATATTGAATTATTTCACGATTTCTATAGTTATGTAATGTTTAGTTTCAGATTAATTTTTATCTTAACATTGAGGTATAATTTCCTCTAACGAGCTTACTTTGATGCTATTCCAAACTATTGCACTCTCGGTGACCAAGACGGTTTTTTTTAATTAGTTAGTGCTATCAGTGATCTAGAAATTAGACCTATCTTGATTCCAAATTAGAGATCTGTAGTTTCAGAATCCAGAGGGATTAAAGATAGGTTTACTACCTTTGTCATATCGTCATCTGTAGCAGTTGATGCTTTCAATACAATACCATCAAAATTTGCCAGGTTTGGCTTGGTTTTGCTCTCTCTTATTATTCCATAGCTAAGCAATTTCTTGTCATGCCACTTATTTATCAGATCCCAACCCTCTTTGACTTCTGATCCGTCATGCTCTGGAGTTTATGAAAATCATCCAAAGGGAGAACCCTACCTAGATCCTTCCTTAATCTAGATTTGAGATCTATCAACTTAAATAGCTTACACCTCTCAGTCTCGTAACTTTACTCTGGATGGAGGCGTGATAAAGTATTTTATTAACTGTGTCCAAATAACACTTCCTCATTCGATTGCAGAAACGGGGTACGATACCATAATAATGGTACCGTAACGTACTCGTTGGAGACCATTTTATTTCATGTCCAGTTTCTACCCTACGTTCGGCCACTTCTGACCGTTGGATCCAGCTACCCTTGCAAGCATTTTTTGTGTTCTACCAATCTTTGTCAAATAGGTCGGCATGTCTCACCAACATAACATCGACCACATGAGCAAGTAATCTTGCAGCAGCCGGATCTCGATAATGAGTCATATTTCTCTCTAAAAGATGGCATAGCAGAATAAAGTGTGAGGACTTCTTTGAACACTCTTTTTATATTGTTAAGGGGACCTTCATTTTGAATGAAAGTACATGATGAAGAGATTCGTTTGTCGTTCTCACCAGATGAGGACG